CAGTACTTACAGGGCACTGGGTGAAGGGAACCCCAAGAACATGCAGCTCGAGTACCTGCGAACATTACTCCCAGCTCGCACGCCACCACAAGAGTAGTACTGAACCTAAGGCACAACATAATACAATACAGAATCTGGAGTCACACAACCATGCCACAATCACATCAGCTGAGAACTGGAGTGTGGATCACCGGCACGGTGGGTCTGAGGCCTCCCCCTTCCCCTTCCCGGTGAGGGGGGGGGGAGCTGCACAGACATGCGGTGTGGCTCGTGTGACGTCATACCTGGTTGATGGGGTTCTGGGAGTAGTTGCTCTCCCCAAGCCCAGCCCGAGGACACGCTTGACTTGTGAGTTTGGTCCACTAAGCTGTTGCTTGGAGCGGCCCGCAGGCCCACATACCCACCACAGCCAGAGTCTAATGATATACATACCAGCCTGGATAGCTCCGGGGAGCCGAAGGGGCTTCGCCCAGAAGCAACTGTACTCTCGAGTCATATCACCCAAACCCGTAGCAGTAAACATAGGTTACACAGTGAACCCCAGCATAAAAATTAGGGGTGCTTTAGGGAAAATGAGAACATCGCAATTGATATTTCCTGAGAATAATGAACTTTGGCTTCGGTTGGTTAGGTGGGTAGGTTAGGTTGGTCAGGGGTTCAGTTAGGTGCCCCTGCACTGCACACCTGTTTTTGGCAAAATTTTCATGGTGCAGTTATTAAGGACATTTTTGTTTTTATAAATGTTCAGCTAATGTTAATGTAAAAATGTTTCCAAACTCGATCATTTTCATTTCAAATCACAAAGAGCGATGAAATCATTAAAAAACCAGCGTTGAATGTAATTAAACCCCATTTTCTGGGCGAGCCCTGGAAGCTTCCTAGAGCTTGTTGGGCTAATTAATGTATGTTATTTTAGACCAGGACATTAGCTATGGAGTTCAGACCTAACAGGGACCAGCACCAGAACCTGGCCCCTTCAGAGAGGTTTCAGGGAGCAATGGCCCTGGAAAACCCCCTTGTGGTTGGGGGTTTTCCTTGTCTGCCATCGACCGGGGTTAAGCACCCAGAAAGGTAGGCATAACAAAACAAATACCACATGGTAAGCAACTAAAACAAAAAAACGAACAGAGGTAGAAACTCCCTACAATCCCAAGGAAACAAGCAATCACCACACTTTACTGCCATGCCGCTCATCCGCACAGCCCTCCCCTTCCTCAGAGGGGGAGGGAAGGGCTGTGCGGATGTGGTAGTTTAAGTACCAGAGGTTAAACTACCACATTTGCCGGCAAAAATCAGAAAGGGCAAAGCACAGCACCCAGACAGAACCAGAAGGAAATGGCCAAAACGGCCTGAAAACCGAGGGACAAGGTGTGGGAGCAAGCATAGACAGGGACACTTGAGCCCAACCCTAAGGGACCAGACTCGAAACAAGACAGAAAACGTAAAACAGGTGTATAAACCAACACCCAAGTGTTCCCAGAGGAACAGAAGACAGGCAGAATACCCCAGGAAAACAAAGAAATGGCAACAGGATGGATAAAACCCCTGAAAGGAGGTGAAAACTCACCCACGCACACTCGCTCCCACAAGAAAAGAAAATGGCCACCAACTAAGGAGCCATGACTGACGCAATAGAGCCACACACCAGCAAATGTGGGAAGCAAGCAGACTAGACACACAAAAATAGGAAGTAGAGAGTTACAGTGAGAGGCGAGACCTCAGATTGGTGTGAAGTCACCAGCGGAGTTCCACTCAGACCTATCCTGTTTCTGATGTATGTAAATGATCTCCCAGAGGGTATAGACTCATTCCTCTCAATGTTTGCTGACAATGCCAAAAAAATGAGAAGGATTAAGACAGAGAAGGACAGCTTGAGGCTTCAAAAAGACCTGGACAAGCTGCAGGAATGGTCGAACAAATGGTTAAGAGTTTAACCCAAGCAAATGTAACGTAATGAAGATAGGTGTAGGGAGCAGGATACAAGATATCATTTGGGAGATGAAATCCTGCAAGAGTCAGAGAAAGACCTGGGGGTTGATATCATGCCAGACCTGTCCCCTGAAACTCATATCAAAAGGTTGGCTAACATAAGAACGGCCTTTAGAAACTTGTGTAAGGAATCTTTCAGAACATTATATACCACATATGTCAGACCAATCCTGGAGTATGCAGCTCCAGCATGGAGTCCATATCTAGTCAAGCAGAAGACTAAACTGGAAAAGGTTCAAAGGTTTGCCACCAGACTAGTACCAGAACTGAGGGGGTATGAGCTATGAGGAGAGATTACGGGAATTAAACCTCACGTCACTGGGAGACAGAAGAGTTAGAGGGGACATGATCACCACATTCAAGATTCTCAGAGGAATTGAGGTAGATAAAGACACTTTTTAACACAAGGGACACACACTAGGGGACACAGGTGGAAATTGAGTGCACAAATAAGCCACAGAGATGTTAGAAAGAATTTTTTCAGCGTCAGAGTAGTAGACAAATGGAATGCATTAGGTGGTGATGTGGTGGAGGCTGACTCCAAACACAGATTCAAGTGTAGATATGATAGAGCCCAATAGGCTCAGGAACCTGTACACCTGTTGATTGACAGTTGAGAGGCAGGACCAAAGAGCCAGAGCTCAACCCCCACAAGCACAATTAGCCAAGTACAATTAGGCAATTAGGTATGATCACCCAGGCGCCGGTAAACAAACTGCAGTGCCGCCGGTGGCCAAGAGAAGAGTTATCCACAGAGAAGAAATTGGCCAACTAAGGAGCCGTGACTGACGCAATAGAGCCAAAAACACGCCAGCAAATGTGGGAAGTAAGCAGAGTAGAGACGAAAACCCCCGCCCAGAAGCAGAAGATCCAGGCAGGGGCAAACAGCTCCAGACAGCAAGTGGGCATCCTCCACAGCCCTGGGAACCCACAACAGAGGCCCTGGGGCAGAGCTGTCCTCCACACCCTCAGCCCTTAAAAAAAGGAAGAGTCCAGGGGAAAGGCAGCAAAGAAAGGGCCACTGGTAAGACCAAGAAGCCTCGGCAGGAGGAACAGGCTTGAAAACTTCCGTCCTCAACCCTAACGGGGCAGCCCCTGAAGCTGCCCGAGTCTTGGCACCAACTAAATCCCACCCCCAACCCAGAAACCCACAGACGGTCAGGAGCCAGGAATAGGGAGGGAAAGGGGCGAACAGCACGGGGTGACTCCGGGGCATCCGGGTAGAAAACCAACCTAGTGCATTGCAAGCAATCTAAACCTAGCTTGCATCACAGATGCCGCCTGTACTCTGAACAGTAAGGACATCAGAAGAGTACTGGAGAACAAGCAGAGAACACCTCTCGCAAGACTCCGGGCCAAGGTGTCAGTGACCTAACAGGCAGCATGACAGGTTAAAGTGGCGGCCGTCACCCTGAGACAAGAGCACAGCAACCAACGAACCCGCACAAGACGGGATGGAACCCGGAAGACACATTCAATGGTCCACTGAGTCCTGAAAGGGTTTTCCAGAGCCCGTAGACTGACTGCTACGGGAAGCCCGGGCAAGGTGTTGCTAACTGGTTAACACCCAAGCTAACAAGGGGTAGATGCAACACTGAAAACCCCTGCGATGTATACAATCACTAGGGCCTAGCAGAGGGCCACCAAACACTACCGGTAGAACTATAGCCACACTATACAGACCCCCATCAGGCATAGAAAAAAAAAAAAAAGAAAAACCCCGCAAAAGTACACTGTCCCCCAGAGGCAACAGGAATCGGTCGCCGCGTAGGTGGCAGGTAGTGCAACACCTCGATGCCCTAACCAGCGCAACATCACTCCCTACCCAAGGCCAAACAAGGGTCACAAGCCCCAGCTGGCCCCAAGGGCGAGGTAAATGCCAATCAGCATGAACCTCAACGGGAATGGTTCCAGAACGCCCCAAGGAATATAACCCTGTTATGCAAGGGAAGTACTCATAGGGCACTTGGGGAAGGAAGCCCCTAAGCACATGCAGCTCTGGTACTCATTAACACCTGGCCACCGCACAACACATGGCAGTGAACGCCACGAAGGCAAAACACCACCTAGGAAACTAAGGCCAGAGAAACATCAGTCCCGGTTGACACTAGCTTACAAACTGAAGTGCTTGGCAGCCATCGCAGTGAGGTCCAGGGCCCCCCTCCCTCCCTCTCGGGGAGGGAAGGGCTGCGCGGATGAGAGGCGCAGCAGTAAGGTGTGATGTTTGCTTGTTTCCTGGATTTTGAAGGGAGTTTACCTCTGTTTGGTTTTTTGTTTTAGTTTCTTACCATGTGGGGTTTGTTTTGTTGTGCCTACCTTTCTGGGTGTCTAACCCCGGTCGATGGCAGATAAGGAAAACCCCCAAACCCCCATAACCAGCCCTGGCTTTCCAGGGCTCCCTGAAGCCTCTTTGAAGGGGCCAGGTTCTGGCACTGGTCCCTGGTAGGTCTGAACTCCATAGCTAATGTCCCGGTCTAATATAACATACATTAGCCCAATAAGCTCTAGGGAGTCATAGGGACTCCCCTCAGAAAAAAACTTGAAATATGGCCCAATTAAAAACAATCAACTCTCAGAGCGCCGTAAAGTGCTTTGCGCAGTGCAGTGTTTAGACACTCCGTTGGCAAAACCACTGCATTATTTAAGGTGGGGAAATTGAGAGAACGGGTTCAACAGTGATAGAAGGATGGATTTAAATGTGGTGGTGGTAAATCCAAAAAATGGTCAAAATATTCCAAACATCAAAGGACAAGATACCATAAGTAACTTTCATGCTGTAACTACTACACTCTGGTAATTACATGCACGCACATCACATGTGGAGTCTGTGTTCAAAAGGATGTGGAGATTCACACTCCACATCCACAACAATGATTTAACCAAGTAAGATTGTTCACATTTAAACCACTTCACAGCCATTATATAATTTGGTATATATATATATAACTAACTTTCAAAATGCAAAGCAACAACTCGCATTAAAAAATTAAGAAAATATGAATTTCACTCACCATTCTGGAATCCATGACTGCCTTCGCCATAAATTTCCCAAGGAATCTGAATTTTGTTCTTAACTTTGTCATGTGAGCAGATTTCATGTTTCTGGGTACAGGTAATGGATAAAGGCCATTGCTGGCATTAACATATTTCACTGCTTTTCCTGGATTATCTTCAGTTCTTTCTTCCACAGTAACCGTTTCACCACGCCATAGTTCTAAATCTGCTTTCTGTAGTTCTTTAGAAACTAGTGCATAAAATTCTAACGTGGGCCCTAAACCTGTCCCCACTTCATTGTCATATTGAATTTCTAACATGGCTCTCGAAGAAGCCAAATCACTTATCACAGACTCTGCCTGTTTGAGAATATCATCACGAGAGACAGTTCTCTTTCGTTTTTCAAGTCTCGGGGTAACTCTTTCACTACTGTCAACAGAATTGAGCTCAGGAGAGGAGTCCATAAGTCGTTGTAAGGCTCGGTCACGGTCGAAGGAAACTGCATAGAAGAGCAGTTGGCGCGTCTCAAACGGAAACAGGAACGGACTGTAAAGAGACAAGTCATTAAGTAACTAAATATTAGCACCAATAATGGTTTTCACACAGTATGTATTGAAGGCAAAGTAATATGCAAGGCAAGATACAACCCCTAATGCAATGGATAACATTTAATTCACTTGGGTCAATGGAGATTCAAACTCTGGCTTCAAAAGTAGGACAAGTCTTGTATTTTTGAGATCCAAGCTTGAATCTCTGATGATTTAAGTTAATGAAATATGAGAGGTACTCACCAAACATATGCTATTTGAGGCAACCATGGTGGAACATTCCCAGTCATTATAACCAAAGGGTCTTGCAACTGTCTATTAGCTTTAGCTGTTAATTTGAGATTTGTGAACTCGGCTGTAGGAAGAGGGGATGGGTAACATGCTGTGGGATAGAGGGAGCCATAGTGTCTGTTCAATGCATGGAGAACCCGTAGTAGTGCCAGCACTTCAATACTTGGGTCACTGACAGTCACACTAGCAGGAAGATTGGCAGTCAGGTACTGGTCAAGAACACTGTTGTTCCCTCCAACAATACTTCCATCTGGAGAATAAAATGACATTAATTCAATGTGTAAAATTCCTTTGGAGAGAATATGATGTTTAGAAGGCATATCCAGTACAACCAATTCAACTAATCTCCTTTTTGGCAAATCTCTAGTGGCAACACTTTCTGGATGGAGTTATTCACTCAATTTGACAAATAAGAGTTTAGCGATGTGGGGGGACACGTCCAGATTTGCTTATGTTGGCCCAGAGTTAGTAAGACTTGGCAAGAACGTTGCTCATCATGATAGGTTGAAATTAAAATTTCCCACAGTGAAATTAGTCCATAAAATGTGAGAAATATAAAGGCATTAACATTACTTTTCTTAATATGGCTCCAACCATGGTTTTAATTGCTGGACAGTTAAGAAACAGTTGGAGCCATTGGAATCTAGCATATTTAAAACCAAATTTTATGTTCATTTTCACTTGCAGCAGTTTTCATTCACTAAAATATGGGCCTTCTTCCTTTGAATAGAGGTTTCAATTCTGAGGCATGGGGAAATATGCTGGATGTGATCAAATCTTTACAGATTCTCATGGTACTTGTCTTTCCTATGATTGGTTGAAAATTTCCCTTGGTGAAATCAGCCCATTGTGTATGTGAAACATTAGGTAAAACTTTTAACCCTTGGATTGCACCTCTTTTTATACTAGACAATGCTCTGGTGTATGGAAAAATTTCCTACTAACAGTTAAAATGCATTCCATAATCATTGGGGGAAAAAAAAAATTGTCATTCACGTCAACCATGGAGGGGAAGAAAACTCATGATGGCATTGTGAATGACTCGGTGAAGGTTGCTTGGACCAAGTATGGGGCAGGAGTTGCTACAAAGACATTTTTACACTTCAATATCACAGTTATGTATATATTTTATCCTTATTAAGTGATGCAGTGAGCACAAGCTACATCTGTAACATATAAATTTTGGAGAAAATTAGTTGAAGTCAACTTCAACCACAGGTGGCAGAGTGTTTGATCTTATTTATAGTATTTTCAAGGAACATAAAATTGCAGCCATTTTTTTCAATTTACATGAAATTTACACCTTATATGTAGAGTTGACGTCTCTACAACATGTCTAAAACACTTTATTCCTAAGTTCATTTATTGATTTTATAAATATTTGCAAACATGAAATATTGGCATGTATTTTTGGGGGAACTTTGGGACTACTTGTAATAGTAAAACTAAACACATTTTGGATAATCCTTTTAAGTAAAATCCTTTATTATATGCTAATATGATATACGAGTGTCATAGAAATGATGCCATTTGAATATTGTGGTAGTAGTAAGATACTGAAAATGTGTAAAATTCGTTGGGAAAATAAAAAGTATCTCCCTTTCTTTTTGGGATGCGATACCGAAACGTAGAACAGTTGCAGCCCTTCTTATATACAACTAGTAAAAAAAAGTTTGGTTGAAATTGAACTTAATTTACTGTAATCCGGCCCCTTAAAATTGTGAATTCTGGGAAAAAATACAGAATCGATTGCCAAATAGATAAAAACATTATTAACAACAAGTAAAGGAAAATATTGAAGCAACTCTAGAATAGTTGCTAATAGACTTCAATGTATTATTTCTGAAAGAAAACTAAAAATAAGTATCAAGCTGACCTCCAACAAAAGTATCTGCTTTCTTCTTGGGGCTGGTTTTGGAACCCCCTGCTTTGCCCTTTCTGCCTCCAGAACTTCGACTTTGCTCCTCCTCTTGTAAAGGCCTGCAAATTGTTAGATAATTTTTTTTTATATTCCTTAATGCTGAGGTAATGCACAATGCTTTGTTTCTAAATTATGCTGGTTAAAGGCTATGTTAAGGTCAAAATAGTGGCCATTTTGTAATATTTGAAACTGGATAAGACTGTTCTTAGAATACATTTTCAGGCCAAATGAAGGAATCTAACCTGTGACCTGAACTCCTATATACTGTATATTATAAATAAAATAAATAAATAAAAATAAATAAAAATAAATATAAATAAAAATAAATAAATAAATAAATATAAATAAATACATAAATAAATAAATTATAAATAAATAAATAAATAAATAAATTATAAATAAAAAATAAATAAAAATAAAAATAAATAAAAAATAATTTAAATAAAAATAAATAAATAAATAAATAAAAATAAATAAAAAATAAATAAATAAATAAATAAATAAATAAATAAATAAATAATGAACATTAAGAGAACACAAAAAAAGTTCGCTTCCTAGAGGCTGTAGATTTCCTCTAACTCCTCCGACGCTGGGCAGGAACCGAGGATGCAGCGGGCATGCCCCCCCTCCAGATCGCGACACTGAGGCGCTGAAAGGGAAAACTTGCCGCTCTAGGGGTCTCTTGTGGTGTCAATGAGCTTGGAACCAAGATCCTTAAGAAACCTTGCACTCTCTCCCCATGGGCCTAGGGTCTCAGATCCTATTGGAGCGAAGTTGTACCGATGATCTAATTGCCTGTACAGTACTTGGCTGACTTGTGTTTGTGTGTGTGTCGCCGCGGATCCTGCTGTGCTGGCAGAGAGGTTGATGTATGTCGTTGCCAGGGTGGATACGCAAGTAAAGTCCCATGCCAACTGTCTGCTACCCTTCCACTGACGCAGTGTGATTCCGTCTGGTCGGCCGGCAAAGCTAACAGTCATGGTTCAGTAGGTTGCGGGACTCACTCTCCGCTGGACACTGAGCAGAGGCAAGGCTTCTGTTAATGATGTCTTTGACTTCGTCGTGTCTAGTGTGCCAACCACCAGATTTTCCACAGTGCAGGCCATGCAATCCATATTCGTCAGCATCTGCCTCGCCACAAATACACCTATGAACAGTGTGAATAGGGGCAGCAAGGCGGAGAGCGAAGGCAATACGGAGCTCCTGCGGATCAAGACTTGTGCCTGTCGCAGACATAGGGACTGCTAAAAGGAAGTCCCCTGCATGGGGAACCTGCACAGCTGTGAAGCGTGCACGATCACTGGGGGTTGTTGCTGTCTCCAGCAAAGCTGTGGCTTCTTTGTCTACAATGGGGCTATCCCAACTGGATTGTTTCTTGGTTTTCGGCATGGCTGGTCTGAGTTCTGGGTCTGCCATGGCACCCCATTTCGTGTCGCATTCCGTGTAGTGGGGTCCTGTATTCCCGCTACATCACTCAGGGTGTCGGGTAGAATTTCCTTAACCAGGTCATCTGATGCCGAGGAGGAAGACAGGAAGGCTGGGACAGCAATTTGGGTGGCGGTGCGGACACCCAAGCCACCGAGCCTAACAGTAAGAGTGGCTTGTTTCCACAGGCATTCGTTGAGGGAGAGGTTAACAACTTTTTCCAGCATGGTCTTCAGTAAGAGGTCATACTCTTCAAGCTTTCGGTTGTCGTAAAATGAGGCGCACCTCAGAAAGTAGGTTAGCCTCGGAAGGGATAGGCATTTTTGAGGAGATGAAAAGCATCGTGGGCATCGATGTCACCTATTCTGTCTTCCATCTTCCTAAGGTCTGCGATATTCTTGTCAAGGATCTCCTCAATGGCGTTAGACTCGAGGGGCGCTGCAAGGAGGGTGCTGTTCTCGGTTCTAATGACATGGGCCGAGATTTTATTTATTTATATCTTCCAAGTGTGAAGTAGTCTCCTCCAACCCAGACATCGTAGCTAGAATAAGGTCTGCCTTGCCTGGAGCCCATGTCATTAGGGCCAAGAACAAGCATCCTCCTTGGAGCCCCCTCGGGTCTAATGCCATTGAGGAGATCCTTGACAAGAATATCGCAGACCTTAGGAAGATGGAAGACAGAATAGGTGACATCGATGCCCACAATGCTTTTAATCTCCTCAAAAAGGCCTATCCCTTCCGAGGCTAACCTACTTTCTGAGGTACGGCCCATCTTACGACAACCGAAAGCTTGTTGAAGGCACTTGGCTTGCCTGCGGCGCCTCACTTGTTGA